AGGAGGAGGAGGCGGAGGAGGAGGAGGATGGAGGAGGAGGAGGAGCAGCAGGAGGAGGAGGAAGGAGGAGGAGGAGGAGGAGGAGGAAGGAGGAGGAGGAGGCCGAGAGGGAGGAGGAGGAGGAGGAGGAGGAGGAGGAGGAGGAAGGAGGAGGGAGGACGAGGAGGAGGAGGAGGCGGAGGAGGAGGAGGAGGAGAAGGAGGGGGAGGAGGAGGAGACGAGGAGGAGGAGGAGGAGGAGGAGGAGGCAGGGGAGGAGGAGGAGGTCGAAGGAGGAGGAGGAGGAGGAGGAGCAGGAGGAGGAGGAGGAGGAGGAGCAGAGGAGGAGGATGGGTAGGAGCAGGAGGAGGAGGAGGAAGGAGCAGGAGGAGGAGCAGGAGGAGGGGAGGAGGAGGGAGGAGGAGGAGGAGGAGGAGAGGAGGAGAGAGGAGGAGAGGAGGATGAGGAGAGGATGGGAGGATGAGGATGAGGAGGAAGGGAAGGAGGACGAGGAGGAGGAGGAGAAGAAGGATGAGGACGAGGACGAGGACGAGGACGAGGAGGAGGAGGAGGAGGAGCCTGCCCCAGTCCCCGCCGAGCCCGAGGACGAGTCGGCCGACCCGCAGTCGCAGCGCCCCCCACACGAAGGCCCAGTTGTCGAGCGCCGACGCCGACGTCCACGCCGACACCCACGCCGACGTCGACGCTGAGGAGGGGCAAGCTCCTCCTCCTCCTCCTCCTCGTCCTCCTCGTCCTCCTCCTCCTCCGCCTCCTCCTCTCTCCTCATCCTCCTCCTCATGCTCCTCCTCCTCCTCCTCCTCCTCCTCCTCCTGCCCCGGCACCGCCCAAGCCCCGCAGACCTCGCGTGGAGGCCGAGAAGCCCGCGCCGCCGCGGGCGCCAACAGCGGCGCCGAACACCGACGACGTCGAGACCGAGGAGGTCCCCGGCCCCGTCCCCATCATACAGCCGAACATCTAATCGAGAAACGCGAAATTTAAGAAATCTGGGCCAGCTTCCTGGAACATTCTTCGCATGCACCCGGGCCAATTTCTGCCGTGAACGCCGGAGGGGCGAGCGTGCTCAAGAAACGGGGCCAGCTCTCCGGCAAGTTGATGAAGAAACGCTGGCCCAGGCTTCCTGATCTGATGCTCAACCGTGGACCCTGAGGAGCACACCCCGTAGGAGCCTGCGACGCCATGGGACCAGGAGGTGCCAGACCACGATCACGGCTTCGGCCTGGAGGGCGTGCCCGGCCTCGAACGCGACCCCGGCTCGGACGAGGCAGAGCCTGGTCCGCCAAGTCGGTGACCGAGACGACCCCACCACAGCGTTGTCGATGATACGACCACCTTGACGACCTACCTCGCAGCATCCAGAAGAACCTCGCCTCGCGAGCCAGCAGGCGAACAAGAAGCAGCGCGTCGACGAGCACCTCACCCTGGAGCAATCACTGAAGGAGCCTGTCGACTTTGACCACTCCACCCTATACCCAACTTGCTTCAGGCGCGTCGGTCTGGTGGAAAGGAGCAAGGAGCTCACCTTCAAGTGCCTGACTCGCGCCCAGCAAGTCAAGATGAGAAAGGCCATGGCATCAGACTGGGACAAAAGGTTGGCCTTCCATGCCGTCCGGTGCTGCACCAAGGAGGGGCTACAGGAGCTACTACGCCAGAGGTCCAAGTTCAAGGTCGTTGGCACGAGGTTGGTATTGGCCGACAAGTCCCTGACGAGTTCAAGGCAATATTGGCGGTCTAAGGCCCCAAGGCTGGCAGTAGCGCGACATCGACATCCGCACCGACGCCCCCACTGGACGACGTGACGCGTTCTGGATCAAAGCTGAGCTCGCTGCCCAAATCAGGCTGGGAAGGCGTCTTTTACGACGACAAGAGCGCATACCTCCAAGCCGAGGGCATCGACAAGATCCTGATGATTCAGATGCCGCTGGGGAGTCCGCCTCCAGGCACCTGCCCAGGCCAAGTTTCTATGCTCAGGGGAGCATCTGCGGGACCAAGGACGCTGGCAAGGCCTAGTACCCCTACCTGCGTTCCGTGCTCCAGGAGTCCCAGATCCACGAGAGCAAGCCGGAACTGGCTGGTATTACATGGCGCACAAGGGGGAAGATCGTTTTCGTGATCCACTCCCGCGTGGACGACATGCTCGCAGCATGGGACAAGTCATCGGACCAGGTCATAAAGGTGCGACCCATACCAGCAGGTTCAAGACCACCAGCGGGCATGCCCAATGGGTCGCTACTCGATCGAGGCCCGACGCAGCATGCAAGCAGAACATGGCGGAGCACAGGATCAGCAAGCTCAAGATCCAGGACACGATAGACATCAACAAGTTGGTTCTCGAGCTCAAGCAGAGCTCTACCCTCGGAGTTCGAGTGGTACGAGGCCGTGTCCAGGTACTACGAGCCCAGCATGCATTCTACGGAGATTCGACCTTCGCGAACGTCGAGGGCGAGAAGTCCCAGTGCGGCCTGGTCGGAGTTCTCAACCACAAGCCCGAGGAAGTCGCCCTGGGAAAGTTCAGCGCGGTGATTCCGCTCACGTGGTGCTCAGGACGAGCCAAGCGGGTCGTGCGCAGCACCCTCAGCGCCGAGGCCCAGGCGAACAGCGAGGCATCCGAGTACGCCGATTGGTAGCAGCATATTCTCACGGAGCTCATCTTAGCGACCAAGATGGGCACACCACCCAAGCTCAAGAACGTGGAACCCCACTCCAGGAACATCAAGATGACAACCTTCACGGACGACCGTAATCTAGAGGAGACCGTCGATAAGGACGCCGGAGTTGTCCAGAACAAGAGGCTCTGGATCGTCGTGCGCATGCCGAGGGAGACGTTCGCACCCGCGGCGCCGGTGCTACCTTGGATACCTAGCCATGCCCTGCCGGCAGACGCGTTGACCGAAGTCATGGGCACGGACACGCTCATGAGAAGGAGGAGGAGGAGGAGGAGGAGGAGGAGGAGGAGGAGGAGGAGGAGGAGGAGAGGCGCGACGTGAAGTCCGTGAAGCCAGAGGGCAAGAGCCTCATCCAGAGGCTGACGCTCGCCTCGCGGGCTTCCCGTGGCAGGGCGTGGCCACTGCGGAGCTCAGCAGGAGCCGAGGCGTCCGCTCGACGTGACCAGCACCTGTGCCGAGGGGTCCTGCGCCGCGGAGTGGCCAATCTGCCCGAAGGGCTTCGCGTGCGGCCTCCTGTCTGCCGTGGTGGCTTGACTCGTGATGGCCGCCGTGCGGCACCTCCTCGGGCCGCCATCCCTGGACCCCCGACGCCGTGATATTTTCGTGGCGCGACCCCCAGAGGTGCGGACCCTTTCCCCGGGGCCGGTCTTTCATGCCGACTCGTTTTTTGACGGTCCCGAGGTCCGGCAAGGGCCCCCGGAGGCCGAAAAACCTCCCGTCGTGATTTCTTCATGACTCGAGGGGGTCCGAAGGCAGAGGTCTGGACCCTTTCCCCGGGACCCGCTCTTTCCTCCCGAGTCGTTTTTTGACGGCCACCGGGGGCCCAGCACAGGGCCCCTGCAGAGGCCGAAAACATGGAAAAACCTCCGTCCTGCATTGTTCACGGCGCGACCCTGTCTGGGTTTGCAGTGGTGGTTGGCATCGTGGTGACCGTCGTGGGGCACCTCGCCGGGCCGCCACCGATCGCGCCTCCTCCTCCTCCTCCTCTTCTGCCTCCTCCTCCTCCTCTTCCTCCTCCTCCTCCTCCTCCTCTTCCGCCTCCTCCTCCTCCTCTTCCGCCTCCTCCTCCTCCTCCTCCTTCTCCTCCACTTCCTCCTCCTCCTCCTCTTCCGCCTCCTCCTCCTCCTCCGCCTCCTCCGCCTCCTCCGCCTCCTCCGCCTCCTTATCGTCAACCCCGTGCAGCTTCCGCCGACGGAGGCGCCCCAGGGAGCCTCGAGGACCCACACGCCCGACGGCTTGCCCGCCGCCGAGCAGGACCCCGAGCCCAAGCGGTCCACGTCCGAGACGTGGTGACGATGAGCCAGACTACCTGCGTGCACAAACTTCGCCACCATCCCCTCTTTCTCCTCCTCCTCCTCCTCCTCCTCCTCCTCCTCCTCCTCTTTCCGCCTCCCTCCTCCTCCTCCGCTCCTCCCTCCTTCTCCTCCTCCGTTCTCCTCCTCCTCCTCCTCCTCCTCCTCCTCCTCCTCCTCCTCCTCCTCCTCTGCCTTCTCCTCCTCCTCCTCCTTCTCCTCCTTCTCCTTCTCCCCCTCCTCCTCCACGGATGGGGGCTCGCTGGCCTCTCACCGCGAAAGGGAGGCAAGGTACCTGTTCATGTTCGGACAGTTTCGCAACCTATCGGGCTTCGGTGATGTCTGAGCCGGACATGCTGGGCGCCCGAGTTATCAGGGGTAACTCGGGTCCGGGGTAACTCGGGTTTGGATACCCGAAAAAGGAACCCGAGTTATCCCTGACCCGAGTTACCCCTGATGATTCGGGGCTCTTGGACGCCCGATTTATCCGGGGTAACTCGGGTCCGGGGTAACTCGGGTTTGGATTCCCGAAAAACGAACCCGTGTTATCCCTGACCCGAGTTACCCCTGATGATTCGGGGCTCTGAGATATGGTGTTGTGTTTCCCTCCTGGGTTCGAGTTGCTGAGCTCCTGAACTTACCTGTGACAGCGTACAGCGCACCTTTGGAGGAGTGTGCGTAAGCAGCTTGACAGCTGTGTTTGGATCGCACTGTATGCTGCTGCTGCTGCTGCTGCTGCTGCTGCTAGCTCCTTGCCTCTATATGCATTCAAATCTGTTGGTTCCCGTGCTTTAACCATTCAGCTACATTCGGTTGGACCACGATCGATGTACCTTCCCTCCCCTTCCGCTCCCTCCCTGAGAATTTCGCCCTCCCGCCCCCCCCCCCGTGTCCCTCGCCCAAGTCGTGAAGGACCTGCAGGAGGCGAGCCAGCCAGCATAGTGCTGCTGGCTCCAGAAACATGAAGCCTCACCATCACTCAATGCGCTGGTCCCCCCCTCCCTGCCCTCGCCTCCCTTCTGGCATTCTCCCGTCAGGGCCCCCGCCGGATCCAAGCAGCGAGATGTAACCGTCGGCTTGCGGCAGCGGCGCGTTCTGGTCCGTGAGCGGATCCGAAGAGCAGATCACGCGAATACCCAGGCCTCCCTCCCTTGCGCTTCGGGGATGCAGAATAGAGGATGAGCGGGTTTGCGGATAAGGCGGAGGAGGAGGAGGACGGCGACGACGGCGACGACCAGGGGGGGCAAGAACAAGCTTTGCAGCACGTGGTGGTGAAGACCGATTATCCCGGCAAAGCAACCTAACAGCGATGTGTAGAAGCATATCTGGAAGCATTGCTTTGAGATTCATGCAGGAGTCCTGTTGTAGAATTCTGGTGTAATCGCAGTCGCAGTCGCAATCGCAATGGCAGTTGCAGTGGCAACGGCAGTCGCAGTCGCAGCCTCAGCCTCAGCCTGCCTCAGCCTCAGCCTGCCTCAGCCTCAGCCTCAGCCTGCCTCAGCCTCAGCCTCTGCCTAGTAGTAGTAGTAGTAGTAGTAGTAGTAGTAGTAGTAGTTGTAGTAGTAGTAGTAGTAGTAGTAGTAGTAGTCGTAGTAGTAGTTAGTAGTAATAGTAGTAGAAGTAGTAGTAGTTAGTAGTAGTAGTAGAGTAGTAGTAGTAGATTAGTAGTTAGTTTTAGTAGTAGATAGTATGTAGTAGTAGTAGTAATAGTAGTCCGGAGTAGTAGTAGTAGTAGTAGTAGTAGTAGTCGTAGTAGTAGTAATAGTAGTAATAGAATAGTAGTAGGTGTAGTAGTAGTAGTTATTAGTAGTAGTAGTAGTAGTCGTTAGTAGTTCGTAGTAGTCGTAGTAGTCGGTTAGGAAGTAGTAGTAGTAGTAGTCGTCGTAGTAGTAGTAGTAGTAGTAGTCGTAGTAGTAGTAGTAGTAGTAGTAGTAGTAGTAGTAGTAGTAGTAGTAGTAGTAGTATTAGTAGTAGTAGTAGTAGTCGTAAGTAGTAGTAGTAGTAGTAGTAGTAGTAGTAGTAGTAGTAGTAGTAGTAGTAGTAGTAGTAGTAGTAGTAGTAGTAGTAGTAGTAGTAGTAGTAGTAGTAGTAGTAGTAGTAGTAGTAGTAGTAGTAGTAGTAGTAACAGTAGCAGTAGCAGTAGCAGTAGCAGTAGTAGTAGTAGTAGTAGTAGTAGTAGTAGTAGTAGTAGTAGTAGTAGTAGTAGTAGTAGTAGTAGTAGTAGTAGTAGTAGTAGTAGTAGTAGTAGAGTAGTCGTAGTAGTAGTAGTAGTAGTAGTAGTAGTAGTAGTAGTAGTAGTAGTAGTAATAGTAGGAAGTAGGTCGTGGGTAGTAGGTAGTAGGTAGTATGTAGTAAGTAGTAGGTAGTAGGTAGTAGGTAGGTAGTAGTGGTAGGTAGTAGTAGTAGTAGTAGTAGTAGTAGTAGTAGTGTAGTAGTAGTGAGTAGTAGTAGTAGTAGTATTAGTAGTAGTAGTAATCAGTAGTAGTAGTAGTACGTAGTAGTAGTAGGAGTAGTAGTAGTAATAGTAGTAGAGGAGTAGTACTAGTAGCACCAACCTTAGCCTGAGCATTCAAAAAATAACCGGAATCTCAGCCTGCATCAAGCATCACCTGCCTCAGGCGTGTGCAGCCGTAGTCTGCTCTTCAGCCTCGGCCAGCCTGCCTTCGCCTCAGCCTTGCATCAGCCTGCCCCTCAGCCTCAACCTTGGCACAGCATCAGGCTTCAGGCTCAGCCTGAATCAGCATCCAGCATGCCTCAGCGTCTGACTTCAGACTGCCTCAGCCTAGCCTCAGCCTCAACCTCAGCCTCAGCCTCAGCCTGCCTCAGCCTCAGCCTGCGTCAGCCTCGGCCTCAGCCTCAGCCTGCATCAGCCTCAGCCTGCATCAGCCTCAGCCTTAGCCTCAGCCTCAGCGTCAGCCTCAGCCTGCCTCAGCCTCAGCCTCAGCCTCAGCCTGCCTCAGCCTCAGCCTCAGCCTCAGCGGTGGATTCCCCATAGTCACTGGCGGCGCTGGGGGCCGCAGCATCAGCCTCAGTGGTGGATTCCCCATAGTCACTGGCGGCGCTGGGGGCCTCAGCCTCAGCCTCAGTGGTGCGTTCCCCATAGTCACTGGCGGCGCTGGGGGCCTCAGCCTCAGCCTCAGTGGTGCATTCCCCATCGTCACTGGCGGCGCTGGGGGCCTCAGCCTCAGCCTCAGTGGTGCGTTCCCCGTAGACACGGGCGGATCCGCGGATTCTCCCCGGATCCTGCCCGGACCCCCCTGGGGAGTCATGATGGTCTCTTTTGAGACCACTAGAAGCCTATCAGTCTTCGCTGTTAGGTAAAGAAGCATGACAGACTGCCTCCTCGGGGTGGGTTCGGATGTCCCCCTGGGGGAAGGGGCGCCGTACGAGGAAAATGATCGCTTCTCCAGCAGATTCCCCTCTCTTGCGGGTAGCGCAGCGATTCGACTGCATGTTGGCTACATGGCGATCCACAATCGCTATCAGTCCAGGGGGTCGCGTGGTATCCTCATCCTCCGCCCATTGTTGCCCCTCTTGCCCGCCTTG